ATTACGCAAAACCTAACCTTACCCAACCTTACCCAAAACCTAACCCTAACCCTGGCCCTAATCCTAACCCTAACCTTAATAAGCGACGAATTGTCGCACCCGCGAAGCTAAAGTTTTTACGGTGTCCCAGTGGCCGGAGAAAAAGTTAGAAAAATCGGCAAAGTTTTTCTGGTCTCCCAGCGGGCATGAGTTTCAGCGCTAAAGTTTTTCTGGTCTCCCAGCGGCCGGCGGGTTTTTATTTTTTTTTTGGTCTCCCAGTGGCCCGGTTCTCTGTAGCAGCGGTATTAAGGGGTTTAATGTGGGGGAGGGGTGCTTAAGTGTGGGCCATAAGGGTTCGGATGGTGTGCTGGGTTCCTGGAGGCCCTTAGCCCCGGATGGGTTGGAGCGGGGAATCCGAAAAAGCCCGGGGAAGGGAGTTAAGGGAGGTCCGTCCGTCCATCCATCCATCCATCCATCCATCCATCAGCTAAACCGCTTATCCTTCTGGGCCTATCCCAGCTGTCATTGGGCGGAAGGCAGGATACACCCTGGACAGGTCGCCAGTCCATCGCAGGGCAGGTTAAGGGAGGTCGGTAGGGGAAAAAAGGGGCCCTGGAGGTATATGTGTTTTGTGGGCATACGGAAGGGTGGGTATTGGGCATCTCCGGAAGGGAGCGGACTGGGGTGCCGGTCGATGGGTCATTGGAAGCGGGTGGAGGAGGAGAGCAGGCCGGTGAAGTTTGGTGGCGGTGGTATGTTTGGGAGGGCCCCGGTAAAGTTTGAAAGTTTTCCCCGGCTAAAAACGACAAAGTCCATAAAATTCGCCTAGGTGGCACCTCCAGGGTGCATGACCCATCGAACCGGGCCGAAAATAGTGCCCTCTGTTGGGCTACGGGGAGTAGGAAAGCCCCCCCGGAGGAAAAAAAAAAAAAAACGGCAAAGTTTTTGTGGTCTCCCAGTGTCTGGTGAAAAATTTTACCGAGTCCATAAAATTCGCCTAGGTGGCGCAACCAGGGTCTTCGTCCTACTTGCGTATCCGCCCAAGTTGCACCGTTTCCGGTCAGATTCAAACCCGACCGCGGTCTGGAGTGTCTGGTGCGCATGAAAAATCCAGAGGGGTGCCATCGGGATTTCGAGAAGCAGTGGCGACGTGAGTTTTGCTCGGGGTCCAAGTACCGTTATGGACTTAGTGCAATTTTCAGACACAAGTCCAACCAGTCTCCTCCTGCAAATAAACCCGAAAGATGGTGAGCTTTTCTGGGCCAAGTCCTTGGTCCGCTCCGATCGAATGGCATACCCGGCCCGCCAGGGGTTAGGCCACCGTCCGGCGTTAGATACGGCCACTATGGGCGTGTGTGTTCCTCCCCGTCTCTGCGGGCCAGCCTCCAGGGGGGTTTCGGCAACGACGAAGCCCGCCCGACCCTATCCGAGAGAGACTCAGAAGGCCGGTCTTGATCCGCTCAGTCCGTCCGATCGCACGGATGCCCGCACGGCTCGGGCTCGGGTGCTTGAAAGAGGCCCCCCCCCACCTTGTAGCTGGCATTTCCCGTGAATCGAACATTTCCTGGTTTAAAATTACCCTCCGGTCGGAAGGGCACCCGAATCCGACCGTTGAGCTTCCGAGCGCGGCCACGCTCACCCGGCCTCCCCCCAGGAAGCTGGTGTTGCGCGACCCGCGGTGGGGCTGCCGCGGAGATATGAGTTCCTTGACACGGGGGCCCCCGGCGCGCGCGCGGTGTGTTGGATGGCCCTGAACCCCTCTCCGTTTCCTCATGAAGCCAGCATGTAAGCCCCCGCGGAGGGGCGTGCGTGTCACGGCCGTTGAGTTAACCGGGGCGGCCGGCCTGTCCTTCTCCGTGCGCCGCCGACGGCTCCACACTTCTGCCCCCGTTGCAGGACGGCCTCGAACCCCCCATCGTGTTCTCATAAAAGCCGGCATGTGTATGTCACGGCCGTTGAGTTCACCGGGGCGGCTGGCCTGGCCTCCTCGGTGCGCTGTCTCCCTGGCCGGCTCCCACCCCGACAGAGGTTGCTCGCTACCTGGTTGATCCTGCCAGTAACATATGCTTGTCTCAAAGATTAAGCCATGCAGGTCTAAGTACACACGGGCGTTACAGTGAAACTGCGAATGGCTCATTAAATCAGTTATGGTTCCTTTGATCGCTCCACACGGTTACTCGGATAACTGTGGTAATTCCAGAGCTAATACATGCGAACAAGCGCCGACCGTGCTCTCGCTTCGTGAGGGGGGGGAGGAAAGCGGAACGCGTGCATTTATCAGACCCATAACCCATTGATGGTGACTCTAGATAACCTCGGGCCGATCGCGCGCCCTCTGAGGCGGCGACGTCTCATTCAAACGTCTGCCCTATCAACTTTCGATGGCAGTATATGTGCCTACCATGGTGACCACGGGTAACGGGGAATCAGGGTTCGATTCCGGAGAGGGAGCCTGAGAAACGGCTACCACATCCAAGGAAGGCAGCAGGCGCGCAAATTACCCATTACCGACACGGTGAGGTAGTGACGAAAAATAACGGCACGAGTCTCCTTCGAGTCGCCGTGACCGGAATGAGCACATCCTAAACCCATGGGTGAGGAGCCATTGGAGGGCAAGTCTGGTACCAGCAGCCGCGGTAATTCCAGCTCCAATAGCGTATATTAAAGTTGCTGCAGTTAAAAAGCTCGTAGTTGGATTTTGGGAGTGGGCCCGGCTGTCCGCCGCGAGGCGAGCCACACGCCCCGTCCCACGCCCTGCCCGCCGGCGCCCCCCGGATGCCCTTGGTTGGGTTGTCCGCGCCAGGGGGCCCGGAGCGTTTACTTTGAATAAATTAGAGTGCTCAAAGCAGGCCCACGCACCGCCTGAATACCCTGAGCTAGGAATAATGGAATAGGACTCCGGTTCTGTCTTCCATGGGTTTTTGGAACCGGGGCCATGATTAAGAGGGACGGCCGGGGGCATTCGTATTGCGCCGCTAGAGGTGAAATTCTTGGACCGGCGCAAGACGGGCGAAAGCGAAAGCATGTGCCAAGTATGTTTTCATTAATCAAGAACGAAAGTCGGAGGTTCGAAGACGATCAGATACCGTCGTAGTTCCGACCGTAAACCGTGCCGACCCGCGATCCGGCGGCGTTACGACAAAAGACCCGCCGGGCAGCGTTGCGGGAAACCACGAGTCTTTGGGTTCCGGGGGGAGTATGGTTGCAAAGCTGAAACTTAAAGGAATTGACGGAAGGGCACCACCAGGAGTGGAGCCTGCGGCTTAATTTGACTCAACACGGGAAACCTCACCCGGCCCGGACACGGAAAGGATTGACAGATTGATAGCTCTTTCTCGATTCTGTGGGTGGTGGTGCATGGCCGTTCTTAGTTGGTGGAGCGATTTGTCTGGTTAATTCCGATAACGAACGAGACTCCCTCATGCTAAATAGTTACGCGGCCCCCGCGGTCGGCGTTCTCCCCAACTTCTTAGAGGGATAAGCGGCATTCAGCCGCGTGAGATGGAGCGATAACAGGTCTGTGATGCCCTTAGACGTCCGGGGCCGCACGCGCGCCACACTGGACGGATCAGCGGGTCGCTCGCCTCCGCCGACAGGCGCGGGTAATCCTCGGAACCCCGTTCGTGATTGGGATTGGGGATTGCAATTCTTCCCCATCAACGAGGAATTCCCAGTAAGCGCGAGTCATAAGCCCGCATTGATTAAGTCCCTGCCCTTTGTACACACCGCCCGTCGCTACTACCGATCGGATGGTTTAGTGAGGTCCTCGGATCGGCTGTGGTCGGGGTGCCCTCGCCGGGGGGGGCCCCGGCCTGGCGCCGAGAAGTCGATCGAACTTGACTATCTAGAGGAAGTAAAAGTCGTAACAAGGTTTCCGTAGGGGAACCTGCGGAAGGATCATTAACGTGGGCCGGGTAGCGCCGCGGGGCGCCCCCCCCCCACTCCTTTAAAAGCCGGGAGGAAGGATGCGAGGGCCGGTAAAGCCTTGCCCTTCTCCTTCCT